TTTAATTTGATATACATGAAGACATATCCCAGTGCTAGAAGGATGAATGACGTGTAAAGGTAAAAATATGTGCATGTCATCAGCATATGGATGCCACTGATGCGTGAAGCTTCACTCTATACTGATGTATGTTTTCCTCCCCGAAAGATAAAAAATGAGATAAAGGCATGTGAATGCTTTCCTGAAAAATCACTACTTGTTTGTGAGCACTCACAGAACTTTATGACTATCAGTTTCTAAAGCTTTTAAGTATGTATAAGCAAGTGTGTGTCTTTGTGTTACCTTGACAGAGTTTTGCAATACAGTGACAGGAAACACATTGGTAGGCATGGAGCTAAGGAACAGTCTGAAGTCCTCATGGATAACAGTGTCTGCAAAGGTCGTACAAGAACAGGACAACAGAAAACAGGACAACAAAATAGCTTTATAGGGGATTCACATGTGCAACACACACTCTGTAATAAAAGGTAGAAGCAGGTGCAAAACAGGTGAGTCTGTCTAAAAACAGAACAATAATATTTTCACTGAACCATACAAACAAGCACACAGACACAAATATAAACATACAAAAATAGTTTTTGTGAATCTAGTCATTCATTTGACGTTTATTTGGCATGTCATACTGATCTAACAGTGTCAGCTTCAGAGACAAGGTTCTGGAGAAGTCATAAATAAAATAAGCATGACATTTTGATGGATTATTTCATTCTTTAAGCAGGGGTTTTATTTTTTACATTTCCTTAATATTTTAATGCAGGAGAGACAATCAAACAAATATGGCACACTACAGTTTAAAAAGTTTGGGGTCGGTAAGATAAATTTCTAAAGAAATCAATAATTTTATTAATTTCAAAGATGCATTAAATTGATCAAAAGTTAATTTTTTTAAATAAAAAACCCTAATTTCAAATAAATGCTGTTCTCTAGAACTGTATTGTCATCAAAAAATCCTGAAAAAAAATTTATTGTGGTGAAATATTTTGAGTTTTTTTGAGCACCAAATCAGCATATTAGAATGATTTCTGAAGAATCATGTGATCACTGAAGACTGGAGTGAAAATTCAACATTGCCATCACAGGAACACATTTTAAAATCCGTTTTAAAATAATAATTAAAAAAAAATAATAATTTTAAATTATATTTCATATTACTACTGTTTTTATATGAAATATTACTGTTTTTACTGTATTTTGGATCACATAAATGCAGCCTTGGTGAGCATAAGAGACTTCTTTCAAAAACACAAAAAAAATCTAACAACCCTTTGAACATTAGCTTAGTTGAACTTCAGCATTATTACTTTTATCTTTGGTTGAAAGTAAATTATTTTTTTACACAAGCCTTGATATTAAACAATGAATGACTGTTTTGGGGTTGTAGGGGTCCCTGCTGAAGACCCCTAATTTAAAGGACTAGGCTACAAAGCAAGACCTCACTTATACACACATACAAACTAACCAGGTTCAGTGAAGGTTTTGATGAGCTCCTCCATTGCCAGCATCCACGACACAGCAAGGTGACAGTTTTGCAGGAAGATCCAGTTGCCAGTCTTCAGAGCTTCCATAATCATCCTCTCCGCAATAGGCCCCTGACCCTGACCCAGCGAGATTGATTTCACCCTGCAATACAAGAAACTCAAAATAAATGCAAATGTTTATATTGTAGGTACTGGATTTGCCAAAGTTTGTCAGATCTATCATTGTTACTACAATTATTTCAGATACACCCATGCCTAAATGACATATTAACACACACACACGCAAATCAAATAAATAGCTTTACTTTTCTAAGATTCTCTTTGTATTTAAAGGGATAGTTTTTGGCTATCCAAAACTAATACGAGTCCTTGACAGTAGGTGAACCTTTTGAAAATGTGTTTCTTGTGGCTTTGTTGGAATGACTAATGAATCAACTGTTCTCATAGTTGGCAAGCAGAAGCGACCGATAGTACCATCCAGGCTCAGGTTTACAATTTATTGCAAGTAATGGGAATACAGGAAATTGGCAGCAGTGTGAGCTAGAAACAGTGTCTTGAATTTATTCTGGCAGCCAGAAAATGATCTGAGCAGAAGCGTGACATGAAAAAATTAGAGCGGGTTAAAAACCATTTGAGCAAAGGGATTTTGGAGCCACTCTAGGAATATGGAAGACATATAGCAGGTGCTGGTTGGCAAACAAGAATAGAATTCCAGTCAACCTGGACGAGAAAATGAGTAAAGTAGTGGTCAAATAAGGCCGCTGCTATCGTAATGTGGTCCCTAAGAGCATCCCAGGATGACACCAGGTCATGATACACACTAGGAGGCAATAACTATGTGACCTCTGAATGAGAAAGAGAGAGATTTGGTGAGGGATGTCATGGCTGAATGAAAGAAGAACTCATCACAATTACAGCTGAGGTGATCAAATTTGATATGTCGGTGAGGCACATCCACAGGAGGAGGAAATTACTGTATGTGTACTGCTGAATGTAATGAGCACAGCAATGCTAAAAAAGCATGGGATCTGAAGTAGAAGTGAAGTGTAGGAAAAAGAAGAATAGAGGTCCAAGCACTGATCCCTGTGGTACCCCAGTTTTGAGCAAAATGTGAAGAGTGTAAGCTAGAGGTCTGCGTGGGACTATTTTTTTAATCCCGCTCCCGCAAGGTTATATTCCGCACACACCCGCTCCCGCTACGTATATATTCACTCTTTGTTCACCCACTGTTTGTTTAGAATAATTTTCTTCTCGACCCAACCATTCCCACTAAATTTAGATCTCGTTTCCAGAATCTCACATTTAAATTTCCGCTACTGAAAGAAAGAGAGATAGGTTAACAAATAAAAGTGTAGTCTGCACAAAATTGTATGTCAT